CCACCACCACAGGAAGTTCTCGCGACTGACGGTAACCTGTGCCGATGGATCGCCGCCGGAGTACAGTCTGTGAGTCCAAAACATCTCAAATTCTCTCGCTCGGCTTCCTATTCATTCTATTGAAAATGCGCAGGTCATGGAACCTGTATTCGAACTTTTACATGTTACGTCTTTTTCGTTTTTATTTATTTATGAAATGTTTGTTTTGGTAACCTAGACCAACCAAAACAGTAAACAAATTTCTATTCACATCTATGATCTAATGCGTCTCCGTAAAAAAGCCTTAGAGTCTTAGAGGCGACTTGACCATTAGATACCGAAAATATTGACTTGTACCGTCATAGACGTCATAAAAGGGCGGCGATTGGAAGCTTCTTTATATCTAGGAGGTTTTGTTTGCTGTGATGAACGAGATATGGCTACTGTGGATGTGCCCTGGTCACCATTGGGATAAGTGACCTTCCTAGACGGGGAACATCGGGAACCATCCCCTAACACTTCCTCTAGAGCCTTGCCTTACCATTAGAGGATTTGACCATTTGTTGCCGAACCCACAAACCTGGTTCTACCAAAGCCCTGATGTCGTCGCCGAACCCTAATATTCCACCTGGTAATTCACTTTCGCTTCGAAGGACTGGCTATGCCTTCATCAGCTTGTCTCACCATAAATTTAGGCTTGGCGGTGACTTGAAAGGCAAATTATACCTTACTGTTGCACATTTAGCAGGTAAAAGTTGTGGGTGTGAAGAATAAAGCGGTGGAGGGAGTACTTATCCATAACCTTATAATACAAACAAACCTGAAGAAATATCAAACGTGCAGGAAATTTGAGACGCGCAAGTGGTAGCTGCCAGTTTTTCAGGAGGTGCGGGCCGGTAAGAGATTTCCTAGAAGTCGGTTCGACACCTCCTCGACCGGATCAGCAGACTGAGAAAACAAAGTTACTTGGGACCACTTTTTGATGGCTCTGTCTAGACTTTCGATAAATGATTGTGCGAGGGGTTAGGTCAGTTGAACGACCTGTTCCAGAAAAAGGGGTTGTAATAAAAGGCTATGTGGATCCGATAGCAACAATGATCAATGGAATAGGTCCTTATAAGCTTTTATCGCTTACTCTCATTGATTGGTCAGAAATTCTAGGAAATCTGTTGAGTTCAAGAAGGTAAACACTTGTAATTCTCACAAGTGGGTGAATAGGAGCAGATCCCTATTGAAATCTGGAATCCTTAGAACTCCTCTCTTCCATAGATCCCTTCAGGCTTTTGAAACTGTTAAAATACCCCCACCTAGGAATGCCAATGCTCTTCGCGAGTCAAAATTCGTCTAAGGAAGGATTTCTGGTGAGATTTTTCTCGTAGCGATTTTAGTTGTCTTCATTTCAACAGGCGGTCACGAATGTTTGCCGTCTCGACGGTCGGCTTTCAACTAATTGCAACGGCTCCTGCTCGGCAAAGAGAAATGACGATGAGACGCGCCAGGAATTAGATAGTGTATCGAATGGACTTTAAAGTGCTGCCATTAAAATTAGTGTTTTTAGGCATGGTTCAACTTATTGCTGGTCGGATTGCGGTCTGCCCTACGGGAAACAGTTGTTTGCAAGGACTTTGCTGTCGTACTGGAAGTGAGTGCTTCTTCCAAATTACATGTCTCCAATATATTAGAAGAATATTTTCCTTGATTATTTCATAACTTCACTTTCGTCAGTACTGGCAAGTTTGTTTAAAATAGTCAAATGATAATGATTCATCTGAACCAGGTTACTTGTAGTACTCCGTACGAGCAGTGCGGAAAGAAACTTATACTGAAAGGGATTATGTTTCGCAAGAGTAGCGAGGAAATTGCTACTTTATCATCAAAAAGATCAGGAAAACAAAATTCGAACACACATTAGGCGCCGGTAGAATGAAATTAACAAAAGCACTTGCTTCATTGGACTATTTAATTTCTCTAATTTAAGCATAGCACTTCATTAAGCGTGGTGTGCGTTAGGGGCGCTACTCCTTACAACGCTCGGAACTGGGGTTCGATATAGTAGGTTCGAATCCTGCTCATGTCAACCCGCTTCATTCCCTCAGTCGGATGGTTGGTAGTCTGTCAGAGGAGAGATGATGCTGGAGTGTAATTCCCATCACTGACGGTACCAAGTCCGTTGTATACGCCATTCAACGCGTTCATATGTCATTGCCACTATGAATTGAAATATAATTCGTGTGCGCATTCCTAAAAAGATTTACCAACGTCGTAGGCTCTGACCTCCATCTCTCAATAGACTTGCTTACAAGGAAGGATGGTAGTCGATGGCCGTATTAAATGAGATGTATACCGCCTGATGCGTCTCTAGACGCTGATTTCAAATCTGCCTTCCAAATCTGCTAAACGGCTCTCCGAACGGAGTTATGAAGCGTAATAGCTCAGTGGTGATGGTCCGGGGTGGCAGGTAAAAGCTCGTAGGATCGGTTCCTTTGCAAGTTTGTTGCTTTGCTTTTGTCCGCAACACTTCTAGAGACAAAAGCAAAGCAACCAATTTGCAAAGGAACCGATCCTACGAGCTTTTACCTGCCACCCCGGACCATCACCACTGAGCTATTACGCTTCATAACTCCGTTCGGAGAGTCGTTTAGCAGATTTGGAAGGCAGATTTGGAATCAGCGTCTGGAGACGCATCAGGAGGTATACATTTCATTTCGAACGGCCACTTCGACCTACCATCCTTCCCTTGTAAGAAACATTCAATAGACAACTAATCAGCTGGTACCTTTTTGCATTTTTGTTTTATTACAATGTTTGTAAATTATATTTTTTTCTAGGAGAATTGCTTATTTCTCCTGATCTTTCACCGGTAGTTAAGAGTATGAAAGTGGGTCACTCTATGTTTTTCCCAGTCCACGACAGACCCTGCCCGTTTAACAGCCCGTCAAATCTCCAATATTACACATTTTAGTGAATTATCTTTTCCCTCATTTACTATTTATTCATTTATTCCTCTTCCTCCCATTGATTCATTATCTTTCAGTATTTGGTCTGAGCCTTCAGCTTGTTGGATTCTGAATTCAGCCCAAACATTACTCTATGTAGTGCCAAAACTCTCACTGATCTTAGTTAAACACGGACTCTCGTGCGAAAAGAATCGCTCTGGTTTGTGGTTCTCGTTATGAACGTTATTAGCGCACCTCTCCATTCCACCTTTAGCCTTTAGTTCGCAGGGAATCTCTGAGAGGATACCTCATGGTCAGAGTTGAGAAACTCCTGGAAAAAATCCGGAAATGGGAGCTGAATGTGTACTGGTTGGAGTGCTCCTGTAGCCGCAATTAAGATGTTATGATCACTTTATTGACCGAGTTTCGGCCAACTCCTCTTCGTCAGAGCTCGGAAAATCGAATCAAGATGCTATCTAACCTTCAAACTCAGTGCGTTGCTGCAGCTTAATGTGTTCTTTACAAGCATATCCCAGTTTGTTGGATGAAAAGCCTTGAGGTGAAAGATCCAATTATAAACGTGAGGTCCTGCTTTTCGATGGGAAGTTCCTGAATTCGGTGAATTCCTCTCGGTGGAGGTTGCCTAGCGCGCAAATTTCCTGATCATCGCGTACAGTGCAAACACATTCCAATCGTACGTTTTCATCGTAAATCTCTTTGAATGCCACGCCCTCGCTGTTATGTTTGTCATTTGGGTGGCGAATAGCTTTTTACCATTTCTCGGTTTGCAATTTGACGGATATCTGACTTCATCAGTCTTTTTGAGGAACTGCACTTAATTATTGACATAAACTAGACAGTAAATCAAAAAACCTATCGAAAAAATGTTTGGTCTAGCGCTAACTGCTGTTACTACGTCCACCATCAGACAACGAGGGCTCACTCTTATCAGTTCGTAGACGAAGAGCAAGAGAGAAAGAGAAAAATCGAAGAATTGAAAAAGTTTATAAAATGCACGTGGAAAGGGCAAAGTGAATTACAGTCAGATAGATATCTTATTTGTTTTTTGCGGCCGAGAGTTTCTTTTTTTCTTCCACCTGCTTCCGCCGAAGTTCGTTCCGTCGATCGATCTCTATGGCGCAGTGAGCATTGAAATAACCCAAAGTGAGAAGTACCGCGCCGGTTACCCTGAAAAGGTGAACATTTTTGGATGCCGCTCAATTACACATGATGCGGGCTGGTGTCAGAGTCCGCGATCGTCGCGCGATTTGCGCGAATCGCAAGGAATAGCAAGTGCCTTCATTTGAACATTTGAAACACTGAATATGAAACAAGTAGAATCATGAACAGTCGTCATTCAACCATCACCATCAAGCAATGGCGGCGGGATTGGAGAGCACCTCGCAGTATTGATCGGGCACTTGTGATTTCTGATCCGTCGCGCGATTCGCGCGATTGGCGCGACGGATCGCGGACTCTGACACCAGCCTAGGAAATGAGTTGAGCTCCATAGGGAGCGCTTTGAAGCTTTGGGATATACCCATGCTCTCGATATCCCGGTTTGGAATATGCAGCATTGTGTATAAAAGCGCAACCACTGAGAGATCCCTGAAGTTTTCCTCTCATAGGGAGGCTCGCACATTTGTGGTCCCAGACGGCTGAAGTATTATAAGCACCCTGACTGAACCACGCCAAATACCGACAGTTGCCTTGAATAGGGGCTTTGTCAAGGAAATAGGCCCCGTTAATATCTCCACAGTCTACGGACCATATCCGCTGTGTCAACTCTGCCTCCATCTCTGCAGTACATGGCAGTCTACAAGCAACATCATACCAACCGTAACTTGAGCCAGATCTGCCAGGTGTATGTTATGGAGAGATCTTCATCCTATCTTTAGCCCTCTTTTTGCAATGACCCTGGACCAATTTGAAGTCGAAGAAACCTTAACTCACAGAGCATGCGAAAACAAACCTGAGCCTGCGCTGATTTCGAACACTTCTCTGCTTTCTTAGGTGTAAAGGATGAGAGACTCGAAGTCTCTTCACTGTGATGGGGAAATCTTATTTATTTGTTGGATGCTGAGGCAAGCGTTTGCTTTTTGATCCAAAGCATATTGTTTTGTAATAAAGGAGTGACCGGGTCGAATAGTTCCAGCCAAAGACCCATCCTATTAGAGTTACTGAATGCAGCCACATAGCAAATTTTACCGACATACGAGGAAGATGCATAAAGCCCATAAGTCGGATCCCAGCCAGAGCTCTACGTTGTTACGAAAGTAACCACGGGGGGGGGTCGTACCGACTTAGTCGCTCGAAATTACGTGTGGGATTGAGGTGAAACTAAGATTTCGTGGGTAGTAGGCTGGGCGAGTGGGGGCGCGCAGGATAAAAATTTGCCGTTTCAGCGGGCGTATATACCTCTAGAAAAGGAAGTAGTGGGAGTATAGGTAAAAAATGGGTTGAAATGGAAATAGAAGGAAATTTTCGGAGATATTTACCGTTTCAGAGTGACTATATACCCGCTCGCCCCCTCCCCCCCCCCCCCCACCCCCGCCACGCATTTTGGAGAAAAAGTGGGTTTTTGCTGGACGATGGAGATGGTGGAGGTGTGGAAAAAAAAGACCTAAGAGGAGAAGTGTTTCCGCTTCTCGATAGTGCCCACCATTCTGTCTTCAATCCTTTCGTTTATTCCCACTTCACACTTTACTTTTACAAATCAATAGGTGTTTAGAAGTGTGGCAAGTGGAGCGGCTTACGAGGATTACGGTCCAGGGGTGGAATTACGGCACGAATACGCTCAAGCCTACCAAGGCTTTGTTCCCTTCAAGGATCGGTAAATTGGAAGCGGAGTGCGTCGGAAAAATAAAAAAACAGTATAGGCCAAGCATTGGTTCAAATGCCACTCACACTCTATGTATGGAAGTGGGATCCATAGCGCAACTCAAGAAGATGGCTCAATTTTTAATGTTGCGTCCAAGTGCTCTTTATGGTTTAATAAGTTCCCTGCCAGTCTGTTCGCTCTCTGTTGGTAAAAATGTGGAACAGGGGAGAGGGGGGAGGGTGGAAAGGTGTTGCATAAACCTGAACCCCTACGTCACAATTTTGCGATTTGTCTGAATGAATTCAACCCAGATCAACACTCCCTCTGTCGTTCCTAAGCAATAACGGTTTCTCCTCATTTCAAGATGGCCCGACTAGTGAGAACTTCATGGGATCCTGCTGGTGGAACTAGGCGATTATTTTAACTCCACAAAGACCCTCCTCAAGCAAACGAACGACTCTCGAACGGGCTTACCTCAAAGGAATCGTCTCCTCATCGAGAATACGTTTCTTGAACAAAGCACCGATTTCTGACCCTCCCAGAAAATAGATGTTCGAGTAGAGTCCGAAGGCAAACGGCAAGACCTGAAGCGCAGCGAGAACTCGGCGGAAGTTCACATCGCTTATGGTCTTCTCTCGCCAACGTCGAAATGATTCCACCGCGTACAGCGACTTGGAGCTCATCTCCATGAACAACGCTATGATGTTCAAAATGATCCACACCTGAATAGGTAGGCGATTTTGTAAGTAAGAGTACCGCAAAATTATGGAGGAGCCTTCACAGCAATAATGAGTAGTTGAGTAGCCTCCGAATGAGTCAAAGGATGCCGCCAGTAAGATGGACTTCAAAAACTTTTGAATTTCTAATGTTTATACTCAGATCTAAAGTCTGACGTGACCCTAATCGATCTCGGAGATTTAACACAGTAATGGTCCAACGACTAAGCAGGATCAAGACACTTTTTCAAAACGGTTTTTTGCATTCCATAGAGCTACGCGGGGAGCATAGAACTGAAAAAAAATGTTTCTAAGCGGCTTTGGGAATTTAAAAGCATGTGAATGCAGGGCTTGTGGCTCGATCTCCTTTGACGGAATTTTTGCATTTCTCTATTTTCTACTTTCTTGGGTTCATACACGGTAGTTCGCCAAAACGATTATCGGTGCGTATATTAATGTTTTTTTTAGCGTCGTCAGATCATCAAATCCTAGAGAATCAGGATATTCAAAAGAAACAATTTTGAGGTCACCATTAGTTTTTTTTCTGGCAAGAAAGAAAAGCATGAAAGACCTTCCTCGGCGGATACTTTCGACCTTCACCTGTATGAACTTATTTGATGACTGGTCCTCCATATCCAGAAAATACTTTCCTAGTTGAAACGTAATTTTAAGCTCTATAAAGAGCATCATTTCTGTTATTGATAATAAATCCCCGCCGCCCCCCCGCCCTAATATTGTTGATTGCAGTCGATCTTATTTGAGAATGAGCTGCCCTCAATCGCCATCTTGCAAGTCAGTCGTATAAAATTGCAAAATGAGAAATCATCTGACGCACCAGTCCCGTGCCTTTTCCCCAGCACGTGAAGGCACAACTGCGAGTAATTGAAGCGGCCTGATCTTCGATGGTTGTATACAAGGGGGGGCAGACCAACAATGAAGTCTTCGCCTCAATGGATTTCGCACGGATATTTCCCACTAAAATTTGAAGCAACTCAAATTCTTCTCTGTGAAGAACTTCATACGTGCCTTGTTTCCCGACAACTATAAGAGTCTACCCCGGGAGCAAGATGCTGGTTCGAGCTCAGCGAGGATCGTAAGCCATTACGACGCTACCTGAAAAGCGGGTCGGGAGGAGTCTTTAATCGAAGCTGCTGTGTCGAAACTATCTGTTAGCTAGGCAATTGAAGCGATGACGATAGCTTCGTGGGGACCGGCGTATGCATCCCGCCGGTCCATGTTGTGCAGACGACGTCATATTCTGAAGACGGTGAGGGAAGGAGATCCTGCTTCTGCTTATATGGGGACATCTTCGAAATATTCAGTCATGAAACCTCCATCAGCATTTAACTTGTGGCGGCAAACTGTTTGACGATTCGAGCCACGGGCGAAATAACGCTTTTCCTTACCCGCCCTTCCCCCATGTCCATGAAGCTGTTTTGCGGTACTCGCCGGTATCCCGTTCTCCCGGCTCCGAATTACGCAACAAGGCGCTAGGGCCCTGCAAAAATCGCTTCTACGGTTTCCATTTTTATTGCTCTCAGCATGATGGTATCTGCACTGTGTGATCTGGTGTGTTTTCTTACATCGCAGATTCTCATTGCCTTAGCACAAAAACGAGCGAGCCTTCAACTTTAGCATTTTTGACGGGTCCTTTTCCATTTTCTTTGCGGCCACTAACCAATGCATTCGTTTCCTGTGCGAAAACCTCACCAATTGGACTGGATCGTGCCTTTAAGTTTTCATGTGTCCCGACGATCAGCCATGACTAACTGCTTGCCTATACCAACTGAATCTTACGTCTACGGAATTCTTCAACACCTTGAAGTACAGCCGATATGTGGGCTGCATCCTTCGACCGCATAGGATCTTTAAGCCCGTATCTCGGAGAATAATCGCTATGTTTTTCTTTGGTTTTCTCTTCCATTTCATTCTAGAAGGTTTCTTCTGCATCATATAATACATAGTTTTCCTTTCCCAATTTCACTTGATAAGTTCTTAAGGATTTTAATGAAGTCCAACTCAATGTAAAACATGTAAAACATGCGCGGTCTTCAATGTGCTAATTGCCACAAGGTGTTGTCTTGAAGGGCAAAAACTTTGGGTTCTGTCGTCGGCCGGTACACGCAAGTTATGCTATAGGCAAGAAGAACCATTCAAAGTTACTACGACGGAGTATGTTCACCTACAAATGGAATATGTGGTGCATGAAGCGGGTTAATGTTGTCAGCAGTTGCCCTTCCAGATTTAGCGAATTTCAGAATGGCCACCAGAGGAATATGAAATCGTTGTCTCAGCGTACAGTATTTTCAGAGCGCCGCCCAGGCGCGTCCATGTTTAACTAACAAGGGAAGGATACCAGGTCGAAGTGGCCATTTGTAACGAGACATACACCACTAGATGTGTTTTTGGACGCTGATCTCGAATCTGCTCTCCAAATCTGCGGAACGATTCTCTGAACGTAGTTATGAAGCGAGATAGTGCAGTGGCAGCGGCCCGGGCCAACGGGAAAGACGTCGTGGGATCGAATTTTCGGCGAGTTTTGACTTTTGCTTTTCCTGAGGACATTGTTAAGGAAATCCTCATCTATGCTAAGTCATCAGCACTCGCCTTTATTACTAGTGCGAGGAGATAGCGAGGAGTTTCGATCAAGTGTGCGTGCCATGTGCAAATGACCAACGGTGACTGCCCACATTTGCAAAGTTAGGTACAAATTTCAGATTTGGACCAAAAGTTGTGGAAAGGGGCATTTTGACGCGCTGAATACGAATATCACCTCTGTTTGGCACGAATGCGCCTGACGCGTGCGCTACGAGTACAAGGGGCGATCTTTTGCGAATGGCGCGCACAGTGTTAGATGCTCCTCGCTAGCTATTCCCACTTGTAATATAGGCAATCGCTAATAATTTATATGGATAAAAGCATCTTTAGCAATGTCTCAAGGAAAGCAAATGTGAGATATCGCCAAGAATTCGATCCCACGACCTCTTTTCCGTCGGCCTGGGCCGCTGCCACTGCACTATCTCGCTTCATAACTACGTTCAGGGAATCGTTCCGCAGATTTGGAGAGCAGATTCGAGATCAGCGTCCAAAAACACATCTAGTGGTGTATGTCTCGTTACAAATGGCCACTTCGACCTGGGATCCCTTCCCTTGTAAGTAACTGCAAAAAGAATGGAGCAAAAAGAAGGTAGAATAATGATGCGAGATTTCGAGCTGTGGTTAAACTCAGTGTTCATCTAAGCGATGATATTCGCCTTCCCAATCCCACTTTGCGAAATTTTGTCTATTTATTCTTATTTCGAAGAAGGGGTTGACAACTATGGCCGACATGGTGGCTACTGCTGGAGGTCACGAGGATCTTGGTATGTCCTTGGCGCTAGTATGTAGGGCGAATATTCCATGGTCATGATCCCACGAAGGTCTTTGGCAGTGTTTTCAACCGCTGCGATCTTCTTTGAAAAGCACACCCCATGGCTGTTTGCGTGAAATGTTGCGAGTAAGCTAATGGAGCAGAAGTACATTACTATGCACTATTGTGGCACAAGGTCCTCTAGACACAACGTTATCAGGCACCAGAACTGGTCAGTCTGCCCATCGTTGCGGTATCATTCGTCAGTCAAATCGCTCTCCACTGCGCTCCCTCTTCTTCTGTCATTCTTTGGCTCGGAATCCATTATCTATCTGTCTAGTGCTGTCTGCTTATAAGAACGCTCCACAGCGTAGAGCCAGGAGGCCTGCATTTTCATGTTCCCGACGGCTCATTTTTTTTCTCAACATGTGGCCCATTTTTCACTGTATAGTGGGTTTTCAAACGTCAAGTTGATCGTGGTGTGAGCCTTTAAGTTTGAAAGACCACACTTACTAAACGCAGCCCTAACATACTCATTTACTCTGCTCAATTAGACTATTTACAAGGCGGATAGACGGCGGAAAGCGATTAAATCCCCTCCACCGATGATGGTCAATTAGAGGGGGGTGAATTTAGGTTAAAAAGGTACTGCAATAGAGAATAGGGTCAAGGAGCAAACAAAGATCTTACTAAGGTTTATGATGGTCCACCAGCAGAGAACAATGCGTGAGACGAGCCTGACGCAACACTTTCCGTTTAGAGAACGTTGGAGCACAGATTGGCACGAAAATGTAGCGCTTGAAGAACTGATAGAGACCACGGTCGAACTCACGCCAGACCTGCAATCAAACTCTCAATCACTGGGACTTCTGCCTTTTCGGAGTTCTGGAGTAGACCTCGAGCTGGACAACTCCAGAAAGTCGAGGTCCTTTCTTGAGCAATCCATATTCGTTGATGGATTAACGTACCTCATAGAAAATGATGTGCTCGGAGACTTACCTTGGAGAATAGCATCGCTCGAAAAAGGCAAATCGGCCCCGGCTGAGGGTCCATATTGTCAAATCGGGCAAAAGCAGCCGGCAAACCGAATATGATCA